TTTTTTTTTTTTTTTTGAGACAGGGTCTTGCTCTGTCACCCAGGCTGAGTGCAGTGGCACAATCATGGCTCACTGCAGCCTTGGCAAACAGACAGATTTCATATCTGTTTACTTCATTTGCTCCTCCAGCAATTCCCAAGGATTGGCAGGTAGGGCAGATATACTTGATAGGGAAATTCAGGCTCATCAACTCTTAGTGACTTGCCCAAGACCTAAAGCTAGAGTGAGAGGACTAGATTCCTTCTTTAACTCTTCACCTGTGCTGCCTTAGCTAAGACCTTGAGTATGTCCTTGTGCTCATGTTTCTCACCAGCCAAGGGATCCGCTTTTCTACTTATAGATTGTTGCCAATGCCAAAGGTGCTGTGACTGGGGCAAAAGATGCTGTGACGACTACCGTGACTGGGGCCAAGGATTCTGTGGCCAGCACGATCACAGGGGTGATGGACAAGACCAAAGGGGCAGTGACTGGCAGTATGGAGAAGACCAAGTCTGTGGTCAGTGGCAGCATTAACACAGTACTGGGGAGTCGGATGATGCAGCTCGTGAACAGTGGCGTAGAAAATGCACTCACCAAATCAGAGCTGTTGGTAGAACAGTACCTCCCTCTCACTGAGGAAGAACTAGGTAACTGGAATTTTATCTTCAAATACTGTTTTATATTAAATCTTTTTTAAACGGCTTCACTGACATACACTCCTATCTTTAGTCTAAATTTACACAGTTGTGCAAGCATCACCGCAATACAGTTTTAGAATACTTCTGCTACCCCAAAAGATCCTCATGCCTGTTTGCAGTCAATCCTTTTTAATTTAATTTAATTTTATAGAGATGGGATCTCACTATGTTACACAGGCTGATCTCGAACTCCTGGGTTCAAACGATCCACCTGCCTTGACTTCCCAAAGTGTTGGGATTACAGATGTGAGCAACCACTAATCTTTTTGCCTTTATAGATTTTCCTTCCTAAAGCAATCATAAAGTTCACATTGAATTGTACATAGTAAGTTTTCAAATTTTAGCAAAAATTGGCCTTGAAAAATATTTTCTGTAAATGGATTGTCTTTAATGGATTGCTTTATAAAATCCTCATTACAAAGAATCATCATTAGGTAGTGTGTGCCAGGTACCATGCTGCTCAAGTTCACTGTAGGCTGGGCACAATGGTGCATGCCTATAATCCCAGCACTTTGGGAGGCTGAGACAGAGGCAGATCACTTGAGTTCAGGAATTTGAGATTAGCTTGGGCAACATGACGAAACCCTAAAAAACACAAAAATTAGCTGGGCGTGGTGGCTTGTTCCTATATTCCCAGCTACTCGGGAGGCTGAGGTGAGAGGATCAGTTGAGCCTGGGAGGTTGAGGCTGCAGTGAGCCAAGATTGCGCCACTGTACTCCAGGCTGGGCAACAGAGCAAGACGCTGTTTCAAAAAAAAAAAAAGGTAGTTTAGTGGGAAAAACGTGTAGATGCATGCAGTGTGTAGCAGATACAGTAATATGTTCAGGGTAGTCAAGTCCAGCAGCAGACATGAGCAGTCTTGGAAAAATGACTACAAGATTGCTAAGTGATTGGGTAGAAGTGAGAAAGTCAAGACCCAGGTTAGAGTCCAGGCCTTATCAGTTGTCGCTGTGATCCCTTAAGTTTTTTTTATCTCTTATTTCTAACTTCAGAAAAAGAAGCAAAAAAAGTTGAAGGATTTGATCTGGTTCAGAAGCCAAGTTATTATGTTAGACTGGGATCCCTATCTACCAAGCTTCGCTCCCGTGCCTACCAGCAGGCTCTCAGCAGGGTTAAAGAAGCTAA